ATGTCTTTGTTTGGGTTTCCTTCTAAAAGTGGAATTAGCGTTTGTAGCACGGGATGAGGTGGTCATGTCGCGGGATTAAACGAGAGCCATGAAATGCTGACAATGTTTTAGATGAGTCTGGAAGTTCTCAACCCTCCCTTTCAAGTTTAGTAGGTTCTTGGTGAGCATGAGTACCGTCCGGTCTTATGGAGGCAGTGTAGGCGTTATGACAGTGTTTGCAAATGTGCCATGTGAGGTTATTCCCACAGTGAAATTTCGTTTTGACGAATTCTAAGCGCTCATTGCTCGCTGGGGGCCGCATGGTGATAGTTGCTGTACACCTAGACTTTTTCGCCTTGTTTCAAGTAAAGCCGAAGAGTTAATGGCGGACGCGGCGGCGAGCTGTCCACACTAGCAGTTGCAGACCAACTACAGGATATCTGGAGTCAGGTGCCAGCACCGTATGTTCCAGCTCAGTCGCTAACATTTTGTGCTCTTTCTTCAAGACCGAGAAGCAGCTCTTATCCAATTGATGAGAAACCAGCGCCAACCATGTTATTTGGTTGTTGCTGGTACTTTAACCAGATTTAACCATGGGGTTTGTACAACCAGGTTAAATCAAAAACCAGTCACTGGCCAACACTCCAAGAAAGGTATTAGAGCGTCGTGCAAGTGAGCCACTGTCATTTGAGGTGGATACGTACCTAGCCAAGTTGCAATACTACTACAACTACCCAGAGTGATTTGTGGATCGAAGCGAGGATAAACCAGATTTAATGCATTGTTTCAGCCTAAAACTAGAGTTTTCAGGCGCTAATCGCTCATGTGGTCGACGATCTTCGTCGTCCTCGACTGGCTCAAGTGGAGGAACAAACGACGCAAAGACTCCACTTGATTTACTACTAGTGGATCAAATGCAGTTGATACAAGCAATATCGCTGCTGACTTAGCTGCGTACATCGATTCAGACTACGCTAACTGTCTCGACACCATACGCTCAGTCGGAGGCTTTGTGGTGAAGTAATAGTTGGCTTTTGGGAATAAGGGGCTGATTGATGGGAAGTGACCCGATCCAGCCCTGAGACTCGTGGTCGACGCCGACGCGACAGTGATTACGTCATCATCTGT